TTTTGGGCGGATGCCGTGAGTACCGCGTGCTACGTGTTAAATCGAGCCGTCATTAGACCGATACTCAAGAAAACGCCCTATGAACTTTACAAAGGAAGAAAGCCTAACCTCTCTTATTTTCATGTCTTTGGATGTAAAGTTTTCATTCATAATAATGGAAAAGATAACTTGGGAAAATTTGATGCTAAGTCGGATGAAGGAATTTTCTTAGGTTATTCTCTTCGTAGTAAGGCATATAGAGTGTTCAACAAGCGTACTAAGACCGTAGAGGAGTCTATTCATGTTATCTTTGATGAATTTGATGCTCGCTTGGCGAGAAAAGGTATTGTTGATAATGTTGCAGGTTCTTATGATGAAGAAGAAGAAATCGTTAAGAAAAAGGAACCGGAAGAAGAGAAAACGCAGGAACAAACGGAGCTTCCTAAGGAATGGAGAACATTGAAGAACCACCCGATTGACAATGTCATTGGTGATATAGCGCAGGGGGTTTCTACTCGTAATTCTCTTAGGAACACAATTAATCACATGGCCTTTGTTTCAAAAATTGAACCAACAACCGTTTTAGATGCTATTAATGATGAACATTGGTCTATGGCAATGCAAGAGGAGCTTAACCAATTTAAACACAATGATATTTGGGAATTGGTGCCTAGACCTAATGATCATTCCATTATTGGCACAAAATGGGTGTTTCGTAACAAACTCGATGAAAATGGTATAATCACTAGAAACAAAGCTAGGCTTGTAGCTAAAGGCTACAATCAAGAAAAAGGCATTGATTATGAAGAAACTTATGCACCGGTTGCACGTTTAGAAGCTATTCGTTTATTGCTTGCATTTGCATCTACAATGGATTTTAAACTTTATCAAAGGGATGTTAAAAGTGCCTTCCTTAATGGTATCATTCAAGAGGAAGTGTATGTCGAACAACCCCCGGGTTTCGAAGACTATGAGTTTCCCGAACATGTCTTCAAACTCAAAAAGGCGCTTCACGGTCTCAAACAAGCACCTCGTGCTTGGTATGAACGGTAAAGCAAATTTATTTTGGACCATGAGTTCAAACGGGGTCAAGTCGACACTACTCTTTTTATCAAGAAAGATAACCAAGACATCCTTTTGGTTCAAGTTTACGTAGATAAAATCATATTCGGTGCTACTAACGAGGCTTTGTGCAAGGATTTTTCCAATATGATGCAAAGTGAATTTGAAATGTCAATGATGGGAGAATTAAAGTTCTTCCTTGGGCTGCAAATTAGACAATGCAAAGAAGGAACATTCGTGTGTCAAACAAAATATTGTAGGGAATTGCTTAAAAGGTTCGATGTTACCGAATCCAAATCCATTGACACACCAATGAGAACCTCTTGCTATCTCGACAAGGACGAAAAAGGTAAAGATGTTGACATCAAGCGCTACCGAGGTATGATCAGCTCTTTACTTTATCTTACCGCGAGTAGATCGGATATCATGTACTCCGTTTGTATATGCGCTAGGTATCAATCATGTCCTAAAGAGTCGCACTTAGTTGCGATCAAAAGGATAATGCGATATCTCGCGGGCACGTTGAATGTAGGTCTTTGGTATCCCAAAGGTTCAACATGTCATCTTGTTGGCTATTCCGACTCGGATTTTGCAGGTTGCAAACTCGATAGGAAAAGTACCAGCGGTACTTGCCACTTATTCGGTCATTCGCTAATCTCGTGGTTTAGTAAGAAGCAGGTTAGTGTTGCACTTTCCACCACCGAAGCGGAATATGTCGCTGCGGGAAGTTGTTGTGCCCAAATTCTTTGGCTAAAACAACAACTAGTGGATTTCGGCCT